ATAAGCTCAAGTGTGGCAACAGTAGTGAGGTTGGCCCAGGATTGGGTAGTGTTTCATTCTGCTGTGCATAAGGCCACTATGGGTCAGTACCAAGTCGATGGCACCTAACAACAACAACAACATATGTCATGGTGTTAGTTCAGACCCATAAAGACTCTGTCCATGGTTTCCAAGGAAGTAAATCATTTAAAGAGCAGAAAATCTCATTTGTATAAATCTTAATTTTATAGTGGCATTCTTTTCTCAATGGACTCTGGTATAGATATAAAAGGCACATCAAAAATGTGCATTCAGCCTTCTTGGCAATTCTAGTACCCTTAGTATTAGAGACTAGATATTATCATTGGCAGTTTTCCCTGCTGTTCCAGCAAACGTAACTTTTCTTAGAAACTGTTGGTGATTGTCTGTCTTGATGTTCTCATTTTTATTTTGTCATCATTTCCATTAATATTATTTACAATTAGTCCACTCAACAAGTGCTTTTAGCTATTATTGTACAACAGTCCAAGCCACACCCATTGCAAAGTCCAGTGCTTCATGCAACCTCATCCCCATTAACCCCAACCATTTTGATTCATTTGCACACCAGGAATTAATACCATTTGTATTAATTTATTTCAGTCTAGGTTTCTCAGAAAGCAGAACCTAAGGCAAATTTTTACGAACTGTGACTATTATCTCAGGGAGCAGAAGTGAGCAAAAAAAGGGAAGTAAGGCAGAGAAGGAAGAAAAATCAATTTTGTGTAACAAGCTGTTCACTGAAAAGTACACCTAATTCCTTGATATCATAGAATTGTCCTGCCTGAATCGTCATAGAGTACATTTCAGGATAGTGCCCAAGGAAAGTAAGGGGGAAAACATTATCCTTTACTCTTCAAACAGCAATTGTGAAAGTAACAACGTTATTACTTTTCTTATGCTTCCATGTTCAATGTATGAATATCAAGTGGATGCGATAGATATTAGCAGACTCTTCTGGGTGAGTAATATTGTGCCTCTCTAACATTTTTTCCCCATGAATCATTTTGTCCTACTGAAAATATTTATTAAGCATGACCAACATCTGTATAGAGAATTAAAAATGGGATGTGATGACCATCTCATTGATTTGGTCCTAGCTGCAATGCTGAGATTAATTGACCTGTTTTGCTTCTAATGTTTAGAAGAACTGTTGTTCTTATGTGACATTGAATTTTTTCAGACACAGTGATCCTATTTACAACAAAACGAAACACAGCCCCATCCTGCTCCAGTCTCACAATTGTTAAACTTGAACCTGCTGCTACTGCCACTGTGCCAATCTGTCTTCTTGGAGGCTTCCTCTTTTCCACTGACCCTCCACTTTAAAAAAGCATGATGTCTTTCTCCAGGGACTGGTCCTTCCTGATAACATGTCCAAGTTTGTGAGATGAAGTCTCACTATTATGATTTCTATGGAGCATTCTGTAGGATCAATACTGGACTGTGAACCACAAGGTTGGAGGTTCAAACCCATCAGCTGCTCCTTGGAAATCCTATATGGGGTTGCTATGAGTCAGAATGACTCAATGGCATTTAAGAACAACAAGGAGTATTCTGGCTATATTTCTTCCAACACAGATTGTTTTTTCTTCTGGCAGCTCATGGTACTTTTAACATTTTTCTCCAAACCACAATTCAAATGC